TATTGGTGGCACAATGAATACTTCTGGGATTGATAATATACCCCTAGGCATATTACAGTGAAGCTTTAAAACAAGCAATAGCAAGTTTTTATTTTGTGAGATCAAATTAGCTCTGCCAATTACCTATCATTTAGTGAGTCAACATTTAGAGTCATCTCCTTTTGGTCTTTGTAATAATTTGGCATCTCTCCTTTGATACCAAGATAGCATGAATAGTTGCTTCAGTTGCATAATATCTGGCTAATTAATCATGTAGCTTTTTATATATACATAAAAATAAATATACATTAGCCCTGTCAACAAGAAAGAATAGCAAGGTTGTCCAATAATATGTATTTTCATAGCTGTTGTGAAAGATCTGTATGGATTCAATATCAAGCTCTGAAATAGCACCAAATAATGAAAAATGAACGTATTAATGCATCCATTCAAATTCCACTGAGCTCTCCCATGTTATTTTAGGTTATATGAGAAATACTGCTTATATTGTTTAAAAAGAGGAAGATACATTAATTATAAACAATTATTTCAATACTATGACTAAATTCACACACTGTCCTGAACTATAGATTGTTGGACAACTCAACATTTTGTTGGTCACACCACAATTCATAGATAATAAGAGACCCACTGTGGAGAGAAGGTCCAGATTCAAGTCTACCCCACCCATGGAAATTCATTGGGTTACTTTGGGCCAATCAATCTCTCTCAGCCCAGCCTTCCACACAGGTTTGCTGTTGTGGGAATAATAATGGAGAGTGATCCTCATGTAGGCCACCTTGAACTCCTAGAAGAAAGATGGGATATAAATCTAACAAAGAAATAAGCCACAAATCAAGTTTTTCAAACCTCTGCAACTGGTCCATATATGACTCTAGCCCCCCCCCCAAAAAAGCAACCCAAACCCACATTTTTCTAGATATTTGAAGGGGTCTATCAAATTTCTTGTCAATTCTTTCAATATATCTTCATGGGATTTGATTTCTGGTCTCCTAATCATTCTCACTGCTTGTTTCTGAACCTGTTCCAGTCTGAACATTTTTTAAAGTATGTTACCCAGAGATGCCAGAATACTCAAGATGGGATCTCACCTATGCAGAATAAAATAATATGATTATTTCTTGTAATTTGGAGACTATACTTCCCTTGATGCAGCCTAAAATTTCATTTGTCTTTTCTGTAATCATATCATATTGCTAGCTTATATTCAGTTTGCAAACCAACTAATTATTCCAAGACCTTTGAAAAGCGCTATTACCAAGCAAGATACTCTGCCCCATATTCAGGTAAATTTTGTCTCCTAAGTGAAGAATTCTGCATTTCTCTCTGTTAATTCAATTCTGCTATTTTCTAGCTAACTGAGATTTATTTCTCACTGTTTAGCTACTGACTATTTCCCTCAATGTTGTGCCATATACAAATCTGACAGCTCTCTCCAGTTTGATGAGCAAGCAAGAACTGATGAGCACACTGAGCATGATTTTTAAACCAGTTATCTACTTGTTAAACCATCCAATTCATGTTTAGCTGAATACACTTCCTAGCTGCCTATGGGGATCTCAGTAGACCTTAAATGCAAAGCTGATGAAAGGTACGCTGACTCTAGCAGTATTTCATGCTACATGCTTCCAACCTGCACAAAGGAAAGGTCACAATTTTGCACCACTTTTTCTAGACACTGTGACTAAGAGGAAAAATAAGTCATCTTTCAGTTTTAAACCATCTGCAGCTTTTTCTGTCATATAGCAAAATGACAGGGAAACCTGATGGATTTCTCTTCTGTGCAACAACTGGGCAGTGTTAGCATAGCATGCTAAGCTACAGTCTGCTTAAACACAGTTTACTAAATAAATGCAATGTCAAATCATGGTTAAAGTGTTAATATTTTACATAATAATATAGCTTGGCTGCTTTTTGCTTAGTACATTGAATGAAAGTTTTAAAAATACAAAAGCCATATTAGGACTTGGCAATTCCACCTATCTAAGAATGGATTCATACATCACGCTAAGCCTCACTAAGGAATGGGATTTTCTGAAGTCTGTTCAGTTTAGCAAGTTGTTCATCTTGGCAAGCTGTTTGGCTCAACATGTTGCATGATGGCAGCCACTGTGATATATTCAATAAACCATAGTTAAACTATGACTTAATTGAATGCTTGACCCAAATCTAAAATCCCTGAATTTGCATGTTAATGAACCATCACTAGAACCTTGTTTAAGAATCATGATCCTGCCAATTATTTTCTAAAGCTAGAGAATGTAAACCTAACTTTTTCAAAATTAGTTTTATAAGTGCCTTTTTTAAAAGTGCCTTTGGAAAGCCTCATTCCTTGGTGAAGCATTTATCACTTCCAATATACACACAGAGAAGCCAACCCTAGGTGATTTCACAGACCACAATTCCAAAACAGGCTGTAGGTCTTAGCTCTTGAAAGAACTTGTCTTCATTCCCTGCTTATAAAAGGTGAAAAGTATATCTACCAAGAGTAGACACTGAATATATTCACCTCCAGTTCTGAAAATCTATGCCATCCAGACCAAAACAGATATGTTTTCTAAGTGTAAGCCTTGCCAACTGCTCAGAAAAATCTACAAGGAAACCCCCAAGAGGCTTTATTTTCTGGATGAAGATGTCCGATCAGGGGACAGCCCAAAACAATCAACATCCCAACCCTGCAGAGGTTTGAGACTGTTTATGGTCCAAACTAATTAACGATGGCTGCAAGAATAAAATTATTCAACTCTTCCACCCATAAGTCATATTCCCTACTCCAGTACAGAAACCAGATCAACCATGTTTCCTGCTGCATGTGTTGAGCCAGATATAACTTGAGACAAGCCCATAGTAGCCATAAAATCCCCTACTATTCCTCAGCTAGTGATTTTATGGCCACTGTGAGGCTGTGTATATGACACAAGACTTGGTACCAAGCCTTGGGGATCCTCAATACTCCATGTTTCATTTTAATTCCATGAAACCAAACTCTTCTCCAAAGAAAGGACAGGCTGCTTGCATCTGCTTATCCCGCACAGCGTGACCTGCATATATAGCATCTGTAAACAGAAAGGAAAGCAATAGACTCAAGAAAAATCAGGCACAGACCTGTCTTCCCAGCCCCCATACGGGTGGTAGAAGTAGCCATGCATGAAGTTAAACAAATATGGTACAGGAAATTAAAAGCACAAAGGACAGTAAGATATGTCCACAGAGCTACCATCTGTTCAGGGTTTTTTCCCTTATCATGTTCATTAAGAAAAAATATACAGGCCTCAAAGCAACAGGCATTAACAAAATATTCTGAGCACTTCTCAGAAATCTGAGGATTATGCAGAGCATTAAAGCATTGCATCAATAATGAATTACAACTTGTACTAGCACCAGTGCTACAAACACATTCACACCCTCTTCAGATTTACTGCTGTTAAGTTTGTAGAAATGGTTTTAATGTATTATATCTGAGCTGCATAAATCCAGAAAACCACTAGAAGGCAATAAAGTGTTAAGTTGCTGCATACCGTATTTCTTTGCTGGTGATTATCTGTATTTCTGCAGCCCAGGTATGCTACTCCTAGTTCTAACCTTTGAACCTACCGCGACATTTCTGATACAACAGCGTTCTGATAGAAGTTTACCAGCCCAATCATTTTTTTCTCCCTTGTACAAGGAAAGCTAAAACAAAACCTTCAGCAGCTACATTTCTAATATGATACCACTGCTAAAAAGCACTAGAGCAGAGGAGCCGAAAAGAGAAACTGGCATCTTTCTTACAAAAATGCAAAGATTTATATCCTGTCTAATCCCCGACAGGTCTGGGGAGCAGGGCACGTGGTGATGCCACCCCGGCACGAGACATTACACCTAAGTAGCGTAACTACAAAAGAGCGCCGGAGGCAAGCCGGGCGGTGGATGACGCGGCCGGCATTTTTTTTCGCACCTCTAATGCCAACGCACGTGGGAACTCCCCGAGACTTTGTATCAACAATAATAAGTGTCAGTTAAAGCTAATGAGGAGACTTCCAGCACTTCTCATCGGGAACTTCCGTTTTACAAGTATGAAACAAACTCGTCTCTTCAGGATTTGTCTTTCGGCAGCGAACGGGACGAAGTCCAGGGGCAAACGGAGACAGGAATGTCCTACTCCTCCCTGCTGGATCAACAGCAAAACCGCCAGAACCCACTAGCCCGACCCCAGCCCCTCCTGAGCCGACAAGCCCCCGCTTAAGCTCCCCGTCTTTCTGAAGTAAGAGTTATATAAGCTTCCCTGGATCCCCAGTAATCTCCTGGCGGCGCTGCAGAGAAGGCGAGGCCGCCCAGCCCCACCTCCAAGCCCCGCTTCCTCCTTTCTCCACTTCGCCCCCTCCGCCTGGCAGCGGGCGAAGTCAGCGGCTCGCCGCTTTGCTCCTCCTTAATTGCTCTGCTGCTCGGCTCCGGGTTCTGCCACCGGCTGGGAAGCGCTACTCTCGCCGCCTCGGGGGCAGGCTCAAGGAACTTTTCTTCCCCGCGCTTCCTTCCCACTCCGTCTCCCTTTCGTCACGTGTGATCACAAGTGCTCCGGGGTAGGACATCAGCCCGGGGTCCGCCGGCCCTTCCTGAAGGTGCTCGAGGGCCGCTCTCACCCCTCGCAGGAGAGGGAGAAGGGGGCCAGCCGCCTGGCGCCTCCGCCGAGCTGAGCCTTTCCGCTTAGTCTGCCGGTTCGCCCGCCGCCCCCTCCCCGGGACTTCCCCTGACTCTCGCGAACCGCCTCTGGTTGTGCCCTGCGCGGCATCTTCTTTCCCTTCGCCCTCTTCCACCTGCTCGGTTTAGGGACCCCGAACGTCTTTCAGGTCAAACCAGGCGCTGGATCCACCGCTGCCGCCCCAACCGGCGGATTTGGGGGCGGGGGCGGCAAGGGTTACTGTTACTTCTGCCGGCCACGGTAGCACCGGCTCGAGGCACTGCAAATGTTACAGCACTTCTGCCCGGCCCGTCTAAAATGTTTCCAGCCCTTCCTTACTCACCCTGCCGTGAAGGTCAGGAAACCGCTGTAATCTCTAAGGGAGAAAAGTAACCCCGCGCTACTACCAAGCCGCTTCGCGAACTCAGTTCGGCTTTGGTCTCGCCTGCTTGCCCGGTCGTTTCCTCCTCGGCGCTCTTCTTGGCAGCCAATAGTCCACCTGTTGCAGGAGCTTCCCTCTACAACTTTCACCGCCGTCCCGGGACCCCTGACAGACAGCTCTCCGTCCCCCTCATTTACTGTCACCTTCTCGTTCTTCAACTTCCTAGGCATACCCAAAAGAGGGCAGCACTCAACCATTTCTGGCTCCGCCCCTCTTGCATAGGCTGCTGGGAAATGTAGTTCCGAGAATTCCCGCCTTAAAATTGCACAGTTCACAGAAATTGCGAATTTTTTGTGTGCTTTCTTTTATTCACCTCTTCAGTTTCCCAAGCATCTTTCAGAATTTCCACTATTGGTTCTTTTCTGCATATAATGGGATAGTCTTAATAATAGCATCTTGCACAATTTTACAAACAATGAAATTAAATAAATAGCCAGTTCCAAATACTAGGCTAAAATGTTATGTCTTCACCCTCTTAAAAGAACATAATGTAATTATTTATTTAACGGGAAAAACTCGCATTCTTAAAATAAGAGGGTAAATAAGATTGTTTAAAATACAATATTTTTCTTTGGACTAGAAATGGCTGTTCACTGAGCTAATGTGGGAGGCTGGGGAGCAAGAAATGTTATTTGGCTTGGACCTCAAGATTAAAGGGGCATCAAACTTAGGCATTTGCTTTTAGATTAGAAAGATATTCAAATTACTTACTTTTTACATGTTATATTTACCTTATTTTTATTATGGATAGGAGTTTGAAAAACTGGAAATGGCTTGTGGCGGGGGAAGGGGGAAAGGGGGGGGGGGGGGGGGGGGG